ACATTGACTAAAATATAAAATGTGCCATAACTTTTGTGCAGTCCACATTTAACTCATTTTACTAATCAACAAAACATGCAATTTGGGCACCCTTGGTCAGTTTTTTGTAGACACACAAACACATTACTGCAAAAATTTGGCAACAACACTGCAATAATGTATGGGACAATGCTGCTTTCGTGCCAAATGGGAGCTCAGAATTTTCCAACCAGGAATCTCCTAATTTTCCTCTTCAAAGCATTCAGGCAACTTCAGCTATTTAAGGTTGAGGGAAATATAGAGGCTCACAGCACGCTCGCCCTTGTTTGGCCGCTGAAAGCTTTTAAAAGAGAGCCATTTTCCTAGTGCTTTATTTATTTTTACAGGAGACGTAGGCTATGAAAATTCAGCATTAATATACGACTGAAAAGCATAGAAGTCTTAAGCCTATAATTATAACTATGTTTGTCGACATCATACATAATTAGCATATGAAAACAGAAAAACAGAAACTCAAAAGTTTGTTTAAAAAGCTTAAAGCAACACAATGTAAGATTTGGGGATTTGGAGACCTCTCTGATGGAAATGTGTAATTGCATGCAACATGCAGAAGAACATTTTGGAATAACAGTTGTGCTTCGGACCCCCACAAGTGGATGAATCTAACTTTCGCAAGCATGTTAAAAGAGTACTGAAAGAGAACTCTGGCCAAACGTGATGAGGGATGTGTGCTCTGAGGATCTAAGTGAATTATTTACAATTACCATCATATCCTCATCATTATTAAGTTGATTTTGCATTTGAGAGCGAAACAGCGAGTTGGACCTTTTTGAGCCTATGTGTGCATGACGTTAATACGTAAAGATGTATGATGTCCGAAAGACTCCCACCAAATCAGTCCTGGTACCTCTGACTTGTACATAATTATTTCAGGCCTTACAGGGAGACTCACAGCGTCGCATACACACCATATTGTAGCGTGTTCTGTTTTCTCCATACTGAATAATGCTATTTCTTTCAGTTTTAACAAAAAATATTACCTAGTGCTGCTTTAAATCACATTACTACTTCTTGTTCTACAGGCAACGGCATGCTGAAATTATGTCACGGAACAGCAACTCAGAGAAGTCAGAGCCCACAAGAAACTCTGACTTTCCGAAAAGGAATTATGAGTTGGAGGGACATTCAAATGGATTTTACTCCACATAAATGCAGCATAAGCTTCAAGTGAACCTAAATGCCTTGTACATTGATTTGCACTGTGAAGTATTTCATCATTGCAGGTTTTAAAACATTGGGAACTTCATGCAATACACACACATCTTTGTTGGTGACTATGAATTTTAAACCTTTTTTTTCTGTTTAGTTTGAGACCTCTGTGTGGAGGGGCTAATCTAACTACCTCACAATAACAATGAAAACTTTGCCTTAAAAGGTGATAAATGTTAATAATATTCACAAAATATAGGAATTACACTTACATTTACATCTATAGAGTCATCATACTCTACAAAGTATTATTTTTATATTTTTAAATAGTAGCAATTGTTTAGATGGTGGGCTTAAAGGGTACACTGTCATGGCTAAACCATATGCATGCTAAGACATTCTGCTTCAGAAAAAGAAGGTTAGCTGGGGAAATAATAAATGTAAATCTGCCTTATTTGTTTCTAATAAAGACAGTCAAGAAGATTTTTAAAATTATTTATCAATTATATTTTTGTGTATTGCAGGAAAAAACTCATTTCTAACTTGACACTGCAGACCTTAATAAGCCCACTAACCCATTTCAATAGCTTTTGTCAACAGAGTTTAAATGGAAGCCTAATGTCTACAGTCTTGTGCAAAAGTTTGGGTGCCCTGGTCAAATGACATGTTTCTAAAAGAAAAAAAAAAGTTAAAAGATCCTCTATAGAGACACACTTCTGCACACTTAATGCTCAATTACTGATTATTTGCTAAATTTAACATACTGGGAAAAAAAATCAACATAAAATGTGGCCTGTGAAAAAGTTATGGCACATTTTCTATGTGTGAAAATCCCCACAAGTGGATGAATCTAACTTTCGCAAGCATGTTAAAAGAGTACTGAAAGAGAACTCTGGCCAAACGTGATGAGGGATGTGTGCTCTGAGGATCTAAGTGAATTATTTACAATTACCATCATATCCTCATCATTATTAAGTTGATTTTGCATTTTAGAGCGAAACAGCGAGTTGGACCTTTTTGAGCCTATGTGTGCATGACGTTAATACGTAAAGATGTATGATGTCCGAAAGACTCCCACCAAATCAGTCCTGGTACCTCTGACTTGTACATAATTATTTCAGGCCTTACAGGGAGACTCACAGCGTCGCATACACACCATATTGTAGCGTGTTCTGTTTTCTCCATACTGAATAATGCTATTTCTTTCAGTTTTAACAAAAAATATTACCTAGTGCTGCTTTAAATCACATTACTACTTCTTGTTCTACAGGCAACGGCATGCTGAAATTATGTCACGGAACAGCAACTCAGAGAAGTCAGAGCCCACAAGAAACTCTGACTTTCCGAAAAGGAATTATGAGTTGGAGGGACATTCAAATGGATTTTACTCCACATAAATGCAGCATAAGCTTCAAGTGAACCTAAATGCCTTGTACATTGATTTGCACTGTGAAGTATTTCATCATTGCAGGTTTTAAAACATTGGGAACTTCATGCAATACACACACATCTTTGTTGGTGACTATGAATTTTAAACCTTTTTTTTCTGTTTAGTTTGAGACCTCTGTGTGGAGGGGCTAATCTAACTACCTCACAATAACAATGAAAACTTTGCCTTAAAAGGCGATAAATGTTAATAATATTCACAAAATATAGGAATTACACTTACATTTACATCTATAGAGTCATCATACTCTACAAACTATTATTTTTATATTTTTAAATAGTAGCAATTGTTTAGATGGTGGGCTTAAAGGGTACACTGTCATGGCTAAACCATATGCATGCTAAGACATTCTGCTTCAGAAAAAGAAGGTTAGCTGGGGAAATAATAAATGTAAATCTGCCTTATTTGTTTCTAATAAAGACAGTCAAGAAGATTTTTAAAATTATTTATCAATTATATTTTTGTGTATTGCAGGAAAAAACTCATTTTTAACTTGACACTGCAGACCTTAATAAGCCCACTAACCCATTTCAATAGCTTTTGTCAACAGAGTTTAAATGGAAGCCTAATGTCTACAGTCTTGTGCAAAAGTTTGGGTGCCCTGGTCAAATGACATGTTTCTAAAAGAAAAAAAAAGTTAAAAGATCCTCTATAGAGACACACTTCTGCACACTTAATGCTCAATTACTGATTATTTGCTAAATTTAACATACTGGGGAAAAAAATCAACATAAAATGTGGCCTGTGAAAAAGTTATGGCACATTTTCTATGTTAGGTCCAACGTGTTAAGCCTAGCAAATAAAAAGAAACTTGCAGAAAAATGTCATATTGAAGTTTATTCCCTGTACAGGATGCATTAACATAGTTTCACTTAGAAAATCAACAAAACATGTCATTCCAACGAGGACGTTTCAATTTTTGCACATAACCCACCATGTATGCAACATAGTGGCGCAGCCTCAGACGAGTTAAAATGAGTTAGACTCTAAAAAAGTGATGTGTTAAATAACAACACACTTTCCTGTGTTACCCATTTTCACACATTTTGGGTCATGTTGTTTTCTGTTTTAATACGTTTTGTGGCGAAAGTAACACAAACCGTGTAGTCCTAAACTGACAGAACGTGCTATTTTTAATACATCTGTTTATGAGTGTACCGAGATTGTCTTTTCTTCGCCATTTACATTGTTAACTCTAAACATGACAGAATGTGAAATCTAATTCACTATATATGTTAATAAACATTTTTATTGCACTTTTTAAGCATGGCTGACTATACTTAAGCATAACAGTGCCTGACCTATGGCCATGGTTTTAAGCGAGAGGCCTTCATCGTGTTTGAAGTTGTGCTGTGAGTAAAGCAGAGTTTGCAGAGTGGGTTCCACTTCTTCAAATAGTCTTTGTAAATGTGCTCCCACACAGAGGATTTTTACTGCATTTTTTCATGTTGTTTTCATGCTCTTCAACACCCAGCATAGACTGATGCACAAAAATAAGGCTTTAGACTAGTAGACTGTTAATGTTACGATTAGTCATCTACCTGACTTAGAGAGTCCAACTAATATGGATAAAGTGTTAAAACCTTTTATCAACAATGTAAAATGTATGTTGTTCATAATAATGATCAGTTAATGTTCAGTCAATGAGCTTTTTTTCTGAAATTAAACAACGACGGGTCCCCTTTAAAACTAGCCCAGACTTTTCGTCTTTTCTCTTCTTTATTTTATTGTTATTTTTAGAATAAATAATCTCTTCATTACATTACAAAAGAGACTAATATTTCATTAGTATGAGATGCATCACTAAAACCTGAAAAATATTCATTATAAATGTGTTTACTGACCTTTAGCTGGGCTTAGATTTTACCCATAATGCATACAAAGGCCTACAGCTGTATAGCGTCAGGTTCCTTCAAGATTTTAAGTGATAAAAGAAGTGTTGCCAATAATTAAAAGATAAGATCTAAGCAGTATAAGCAGATAAGCAGTCTTCTTTGGCTTTATTGGAGGCATGTCAGGCAATCAGTCTGTAAAATGTTTGTTGTCAAATAAAATTGTTGTTGCTACTACTACTGCATTGGTACCTGACCTTAAATGTAAATAAATAAATAAATAAAAAAATAAATGAAACTGTCACAACATAAGCAGCCATACTTCTATAGTTTTCCACATGATTTATTGTCGATGCGTTCACTGTTGAGGAAAAGCAACAAGAAATGAAAAAGGTTCTTATGGTTCAGTGAAGACCCATAAGTTTAAAGAACCACCCATTGAAAGAGCCCTTAAGTCCTCTGCAGAACCTTTCTTGGCAACTTTATCTTTACAAGTATCAATGTGAGGTACAAAACAGAAACGTCTCACGTACCTTTGAAGAAGCAACGATGTCTAATTCAGATCCAGCAGACTTCGAATGCCGTCCTCAGCACAGCTGCCAGTAAGCGGAGCCTCGCTTTGAGGTCACTGTCAGTAAGCTTTTCTCTTCCTCATTAAGCTACTGTGTCTGTGTGAAGTTAGCATGAGTATTTCTAGAGGTGGTGGTGGGGGGAGACATGAACTTCGCTGGTGTCAATCAAAGTCTGCAAGCGACACGCATACATACATACATATGAACACGAACACCCTCCACTTCCTATTCTCTTTTTTTACAAGGTGCAACAATGGGTTTCCTGTCTTCTAAATGTGTGGGCGTATGTTGCATGGGCTGACATATTTTTAGGCTGAAATTTAAGCCTTTGAAAAGCTAAAAGAAGTCCCTCAAAACCTCAAGGCCTTACTGAGTTGTAAAAGATAGCTCTGGAGAGCCTCCCTGCCTTCAGCACGCTGAACAAGTGGTAAGCAAAAATATTAGGATCAGTGTATGCTCATCCAATCGTTGTGTGAAAGCATTGTTAGTATAGTAGTATGGCAGTAATCAGGAATGGACCACTGACCAGGGCACTAGGGGCCAGCACCCAGGGGCCTCTGACTGTCAGGGGCCTTGGCTTATGATTTGGTATAAGTGAATGAAGAAGTGAAGAAATCTTACTTCAAATCTTAATGCAAAAAGCACTGTTACAATGTAGACACAACGAGATGCCGCACATTAATATGGCTAATTTTGTTTATTTTTCAAAAGACTCTTGTGCTCAGGGTCCTTGCAAGACCATGATCTATCCCTGAGAATGCTAAAAATATGAATAATGATTTTGAAGATGGCAGTTTCTGGCAGTAAATGAACTGAAAAGAACTAAACAAACCCACAAACACCAACTACTGCAGAACACCCAGTTGAAAACATACTTAAAAAGAACTCACTGTACGTCTTAGCCTCACTAAGGTCGCTTTGTGCAGTAGACCAATCGCAGACAGGGGGAGGTATAAACAACATGTGATTTGAACATGTTTTGTAAGCAGTGCACACAGCACCATACAAACTCAAATTACTGCAGCGTTTGGGCCAAAAAGACATTGAGCCTCATTCACCAACCGTTTTAAAGAAGAAATTTCTTTTTTAGAACCCACTTATGCAGTTTTTACCAAGATTCTGACATTCACCAATGTTTTCTTATTTAGGATTTGTTATTAAGTAAGAACACAATCTACACACAGTCGAGAGAACTAAGGTACCAACAACTCCGCGATTTAAGAAAATGTCATGAATCTGGCATAGGCTTTTTCTTAGGAGCTTTCTCAAGATTTAAGAAAAAAGATATTGGTGAATGAGGCCCTTTGTTTTTCTTAGAAACTTTTCCTTTGAGGCGTACTTACTCCACTGTAGATAAATAAAATCTAGCCCTAAATCTAACCTTAACCTCAACACAAAACCTAAACCTAACCCAACATTCAGATCATTTGTCTTTTAAAACATTAGGTTTTGAAAAGGTGCTAATATGTACCTTTCGTTTGGGAAAAAACCCTTATTTAAGGCGCACAGTTGGACCTTTGTTGTACTTTTGAGGTACATTTACATTGTTTATACCTTGATGAACAAAAAATGTACCTGCACAGAGCCTTTTTTCTGACAGCGTAGGGAACGATCAAAATTGAGGTTAATAGTTATTTGCTCCATTTAAATCTGTACTATTATTTGATTCATTAGAACAAACATTACAGCAAAAATATTGAGCCCATATCCATTATATCCAGTACGTAGCTCATCATTTTCTTGACGTCTCTTTAACAGCAAACAGCTTCTTTTTTAAGTTACATTAAGTTACTTTAACGTAAAACTTACAAGCATCTTTCAGAAAACAGCATTTCTGAAACGGTAATAAGAAGAAACAAAAAGAAGATGTTTTAAATGTAATGTAAATGAATGTGATTTGATGTATGTAACTTTCTCCCAACAATTGACTGACATAGTAAGTTCAGCAAATAATATGTTGAACAAGCATCCATGAATGCCCTCTAAAACTACAACCATGAATCTCACTGCGTAAAAAACAACATGGAGAAAAAATTTGTGACCCAAATTGGCTTATATGTCTAAGGCATAGGTTTTGTGGTGAAGGGACTGGTTTTGTTATATGCTGTCCATGACCTCCATAGCCCTCTAAAAACATTTTTACCAGCTGCCCTGGTAATAAATGGGGCTTTATTCCTGGGTATAGGAATCTAGTAACACATGAAGAAGTGTGATTAAAACTTTATTGGAAAATTTGAACAATCATTAGGTTATTTAGTAATAGAGATAGGAGGAACTGAAACCATGGGTGTTTTCCAAGGTAAGTAAATGAGAGTAAATATGTGGTGAGAGTTATTAGAGGATGTGGTCAATGAATGTACAAAAGCTCTCTCTTATACAATATAAATAGTATTTATGATCAGCATATTTTTGTGGAATTGACAAAGGTAGAGGACAGCATCCACCCTCCTCTGATCAACAGAAGCTGTATTATGGAGATGGACATATATATTTTTAGATATTTGAAATACATTCCAAACACTAAATTGTGTTTCAGAATATATTGCCATATTAACCAAATATATTTAGAAATGTATTTATTTTAAAATGTATGGGCACATATTACACATAGTAATGTACCATACAAAAATAAATGTATATAAATGTTTTTACTAAATACATTTGAAAATGCATGAAAATAGCCAAAATACTTGTCTAATGCACTTTACTGTTTGGAATACCTTTTGAAATGAATTTTGTATTCCAGTATTTTAATTTTAAATATTAGCAAATGAACCTTTAACATGGCAAAAGCAAGTGTTGTAGGTATTGATACACTGTGAAGATGCAGTTATGATTTGATATCTTGTTTATTTGAAATACATTTTGTGAGCACAGTCTTACCGTATACATACATGGTTAATGCAAAGTACAATGCAAAACACAGTACCATTCAGTAAGTACCATTTCGTTATATCTGTAACCTTTAGTAAAACTACATACAACTGAAAAAATACAACAACAAAAACATATAAATGCATATATATGTATTTTAGGCCATTTTCATACATTGCAAAAATATATTTGATAAATGCACTTGGAATATATATATTTTTTCATATATAAAAGTTCCTCTCACTACTACTACTATTTGTAAGAATGCCTAACAATGCCTAATTTGTAAGAAAGCCTAACAAGCAGGAGAAAAGATCCACCTCTCTTCCAACCCCATACATCTCTCATCGGCCATGGTGTGACTGCAACCGATATACTGCTGAACTTCACTCAGACGGGTGTTTCATTCACCCACTACTCAAACTATTCCACACACAGCTATAGACCATGATATTACGAAATCAAGTGAGAGAGAGAGAGAGAGAGAGAGAGAGAGAGAGAGAGAGAGAGAGAGAGCAAGAAGGCACGGATTTGACATAGACACATTCTTTCAAATAAAAAGGAATCTACACTGGGGCTAAAAGTATGTGGACATCTGACCATCACATCTATAAGGGATTGTTGGAAGTCCCATTCAAAAACCATGGTTGTTAATACGGAGTTTTCCCCCCTTTAATGCCATAATGGCTGTGCAGGCCACTGGAGTAATTTTAAGGACCTCACTTTGTGCACAGGAGCACAGTCATGCTGGAACAGGAAAGGGTCTTCCCCAAACTGTTGTCTTATAGCTGAAAGCATGTAATTGTCTAAAATGTCTTTCTGTGCTCTAGGTTTAACATTAGCCTTCACTAGAACTAAGGGGCCCAAACACTGAAAAAACGACCATTATCCTCCTCCACCAAACTTTACTGTTGGCTCTATACATTCTGATATTTAGTGTTCTCCTAGCATCTACCAAACGCAAATTCATCCATCAGACTGCCAAAGCATGAAGCGTGATTAATCACTCCAGAGAACATATTTCCACTGCTCCAGAATCCAGTGGCAGTGTGCTTTATACCACTGCAGCCAACTCTTGGCATTGCACATAGTGAGACTTATTTTCAGCTGCTCGGCTGTGGAAACCCATTTCATAAAGCTCCCGATGCACAGTTCTTGTGCTGATGCTGCTTCCAGAGGCAGTTTGGAATTCTGTAGTGAGTGATGCAACAGAGGACAGGCCATTTTTATGTGCACTTGACAGCCGGGTGAATTTTTTGAGGGCTAGCACTTTGTGGGTGAGCCGTTGTTGCTCCAAGATGCTATAACACTTACAGTTGACCAGGGCAGACCTAGCAGAAATTTCACAAACTGACTTTGATAGTGCTACGTTTAGTCATTGACTCTTCCATTGACCCATTCTACTGCCAGTGTTTATCTATGTAGATTTCATGGCTATGTGCTTGATTTTATACACCTGTTAGCAATGAGAGTGACTAAGACCACCTACATTAATTAGAACTGGTATCCACATACTTTTGGCCATATAGTGTACTACATAAAAAATGACTCAGCAGAAAACAAACCCAAACCTGACCAAGCCTGATATTTTGCCTGAAAAATCACCCCAAACCCTGATGTTTTGTCAGGCTTGGGTGGGGTAGCAGACCTCTAATTGCTGTATACAGTCTGCCAGCTACGTTTATCTTTCTCAATCAAAGGTAAGGGACCACCATAGGTACTAGTTGGGTGGTGGACCTTTCTCAGCGCAGCAGTGACGCTGATATGGTGTTGTCATGTTAGTGGGTGATGTGCAGGTGTGACTATGTAACATCTCAGTGAGTAAAAGTCGTCATTGCTGGGTTTATTATAGTTCACCAACCAAAAACATCTAGCCAACAGCGGCCCTGTAAACCACTGAGGAAGGTGGTCTAACATACTGTGGATGGAAAAAATGAGCTGGAGTCTCTCACTGAACACCTACAAGATGTACCAACAAGTGTCTGTGTGTCTAATACGATGTACGCAGTGGTTAAATATATGCATAGAAATCCAAGTAATGCAAGAAGTGAAATTATAGCATTTATGGAAGTCTTTAAATAGGTGGTCAGCTGCAATATCATGATTATTAATTGTCCATGGTTTGTCTTATAATCCAGCAAGCCATTCTTGTTTTGGTGGAATTTTCACATTTCCTGAATTTAGCTATCAGTGTTTGTTTTAAGATTATAATCTCATTTACTTTTCCTTATTGCAGAGGAACAGGATGGCATATGAGCGGGAACAACAGATACATTT